CAAAGGTAGTATCGGGCAGATTGATCTTGCAAGGTATAATATACAGACGCTTGTGGGTAAGATTAAACTTGATTATGATACCACGAAAAAAAAGAGGAGGATAGGAAAGAACATTCAACATTAACTTGAGAGCATCGAAGCAGAGACAAATTTTCCAGAAGCGATGAAAGATTCTATGGAACTTAGCATCATGCTTAACACTCGTCTCACCGATTAGGATTGACCAACAGGGACTACCATAGCGATAACCCTACTGACATGACCGACTACCTGGACGAAGAAAACAGCTCCACCGCCTTGCTCAACCATCAATAGTCGGCATCCCCTTCAATTCCACCCCCTCGTGTGGAGTTGCCCAAATTTTACGGAAATGCAGAGGATTTTCCCGACTTCTGGGCGGTATATGAAACACTTGTGCACAATAACAGCAAACTGACGGTCATAGAGAAAATGATGCTCCTAAAAGACTGTTTGAAGGGAAAGTCGGACAGAGCTATCAAAGGAATTCAGCTCGTGCCCCAAAATTATGAGTGGATGGTAGCAAGCCTCAAGAAAAAATACGAAAGCAAGGCAACCAGCAGGTCACGAATCGTTCAACAACTCATGGACTTACCCCAGTCTGATAGAAGCGCAGAAAGCAACGAATTGGTTTTGATAAAATATGTGCGCTTTTGAATCAAATGACATCGGCTGGTCAGGATATTCGCCAAACAAACGATGCAATGTGGATTGAAGCCATTATACACAAGTTCCCACGAGATATAGTTGAACCGGTGCTCATCAAAATGAGGGAAAACGAAGATCTTGCTGTTGATGAGATAATGAATATCATAGAGACGGAAATATCCGCAAAAGCCTACATCCAAGGCCCGTACTCGACCCCAATATACGAAAGGGTTCAAAAGAATTTCAGATAGAGTTCCAAGCCGGATTCCTCAGAAATGTGTAGTATGCGGGAAACTCGGTCACATCGCTTGGCAATGCCGTACACCACTGACTGTGAATGAACGACGAAAAATCATCGTTAAAAAACGCTTATGTTGGAAGTGCTATTCTGATCAGCATTCTAGTATACAATGCGCGAGAGAAAATTGCGCCCTTTGCGGCAGACTTCATCACATCAAGCTGTGCTACGCCAGTGAGAAGGAGCATACCTCTAATCCGCGCAATACGTCACAACCACATCGCGCATATAACGGGCGACAACAGAACGAGCAAAGAAGCAGCAGCAACTTTGCGAGAGTTGGAAGCGCCAATGACTCATACAGGCCTGGATCAGGGCAACCCAGGGATTGCAAAGATAATGCGAATTCGGACAAAAGTAAGACGAAAGCTTCCATTAAAGGTAGAACTCAGAATCATAGTCACGTTGTGGATACCCCTACGGCTGTGGATAACCCCACAGTTGTGGATAACCCCGTCATTGTGAATAATACCGCTTCAGAAAATCATGCTACTATCGACACCAACCATATGTCCCGACAGAACGAACAAATTGTTTTAATGACGGCAGTGGGTGACATTTGGAATCACAATCTAGAGAAGTTTGAAAAAGCCATGTTCTTCTTCGACACTGGAGCGCAAAAGACAATCATACAAGAAGATCTGGCATTCAAACTAGGTCTACCCATGCTTCGGACTGAAAGATGCATCATGTCAGGAATTGGAGGCAAAATTGAAACATTTGAAAGCAACGTCGTACACGTCAGAATAGGTACCGCTTACGGGAGAGACTTAGAGATCTTGATTAAAACAAAATCAGTGTTAACTAATGGATTTCCGTCCGTCAAGCTATGCAGTATGGATCAAGATTTTTTGCAAGAACGTAACATTCTCGTTTGCAATCCACACTTAAGGGGAGAACTCCAAACCCCACAGATTTTGGTTGGCCTCAGACTACTACTACAAGTCCTCGAGAACGGAGATAATAGTCTAACTCCATCCGGACTTCGCATAGCCAACACGATATTTGGGCCCACAATTCACGGACGTGGCGTACTGGAATCTCAAAATGACACATGCATGGCCATGGTAACACATGGTTTGACAGCAATCGATGAGACGGAACATGAACTGCTCGCCAAGCTGTTTGAATTGGAAGGATTGGGCATATCTTCTGAGGAAGTCGCTGAGAGGTCACAGCTCACAGAGTACTACGACAGGTACTCTAAGCAAATTTCCTTTCAGGACGGTATCGTGACAGCACCCTTTCCGCTAACTCCCAGTGTTGCAGATCTTGCAGATAACTATTCTTCAGCAATTAAACGCCTGATAAGTTTATATCGTCAACTGGAAAATAATCCTATTCAAAAGCATTGGTACTGGAAGATACTAAAACAGTACGAAGACGAAGATATAATTGAAAAGGCAACCGGAGAAATGCCCAACTCAGCAGGAGTGTACTACATGCCCCACTCCGGTGTGTGGCGCGAACATAAGCCCAGACCGTTGAGAATTGTTTTCGACGCCTCCTCCAAACGAAAGGGTCAGCTCTTTCTCAACGATGTTACTCTGAAAGGGGAGTCCATGGTCAACAAAATCCACGACATCCTGATCGCAAGTAGAATGAGTAATATAATCGTACTTTGCGACATTGAAGCGGCCTTCACTCAAATAAGGCTGCACGAGTCTCATAGAGATCTCTGCAGGGAGCTATGCAAAGCGGACACTAGTAACGGCTAGTTGTCATTACACCACTTCCGCGCTACCGTATCCCACGCCTAGTAATAATCATTTTCTAGTGTCCCCATCGACAATCAGGTGCTAACGTATGGCCGCGTTCATACATGATGCAGAAATGCAGAACCACGGAATGTGCAGAACTGCGGAATTGGGAGAACCGCGGAACTTGCAGAAAAAGAAAATATGTCTATCGATTTCAAAAACCGTGGAATATGCAGAAGTGCGGAATTTGCAGAAATGCCGATGGACCGATCGATCCCTATCGCTTCTTTGTCCGTAATTTCTGCATTTCTGCAAATTCCGCGGAATTTGCCGAAGTGCGGAATCTGCAGAATCTGCGGATTCTGCATTTCTCCCAATTCCGCACGACGGCAGGAACGAACCGATCGATCCCTATCATTTCTTTTCCGTCATTTCTGCATTTCTGCAAATTCCGCGGAATTTGCAGAAATGCAGTTTTCAAATCGATACGTATGCATTTCCTTTCCGCAATTTCCGTCATTTCCACAACGTCGTCATGTATGAACGCGGCCTAGGGGGGGGCACGCGGCGAGTGATGACTCATCGACTCTTCTGCTTCCTCCTCGGCAAAATAGAAGTAACCTCATGTTTAAGACATGGATATAACACCGTCCTAGCTATATTTGAAAGCTTAAGCAGTTAACGCTGAAAAGTGCGAAGAAACAGTTGTAGGATGGAAGATTTTGCCTAAACTACCAACGATTGTTGCCTTTTTGATGTTGACCGTTATTCTTGACTACAAAAGATCAAACATTCAGCTTCTGTGGGATTTCTCAGCAAGTATTCGGTGAATCTTGTTTGTTTATTCTAATTTTGCTGCTAGATTAGCGCTCTAAGTATGTCAATGAGTGAAGAGCCGATGAGTCACTCGCCGCGAGCCGCGTGCCCCCCCCCCCAAATACGTTAGCACCGACAATCATTCTCTTATTAGTCGTTTTCCCTTGTTTTTTTTTTTTTTTTTCT